AATACTTAAGTACAAAAAATAGCAGATACTTTAAGACTTTTACTCAAGTAATATTCCTAAAGGAGACTTTAACTTTTACCAAAGTGAATTTTTTGGTAAGGTACTTGTACTTTTACTCAAGTATCACTTTGTGGTACTTTATACAACACTGTTAGGAACCACTTCCATTTGACTGAGTTTAAAAATATAGCATTTGTAGACATTTATAGGCATAAAAAACACCAAAAAATTAGATTATTAATTATATCTTATTATCCAAATTTAAATGTTTTTGAGAAAATTAAGTTAAACCATTTTAGTTTTGAAAAATATACATTTATCTGACTTTTGTCATGTAGCCGACAAAGGCCAACAACCTATTAGAATTCTAGATTGAAGTGAATAAACTAAAGATAAACTATGAGAATAAAGGTCCAAACATTTCCACAGCAGTTCAAGAATAACAAATTTAAGCTGTCCGGGGCCAGCAGACTCAGTGTTAGAATCAGAACTAACACTCGCCACTGGGAGGCAGAACTCCGCCTGGTTTCAGATGAGCAGCATCCACAGGAGCACAAAGACTGCAGCATCCCCTGATCAAACCTTTAACGTGTCACAGTTTTCTTACCTGCAGCTCCACTCCGTAGCCGGTGTACACTGTGATGGTGTAGGTGCAGTGCAGGAAGACGCCGTCAGGCAGGGGAGGGTTGTCAGAGGAGTCGATATAACCCTCAGCCTCGGTGAAATTCAGCGTGCAGCTGGATGCAGCTAAAGAGAAAGCAGAGGAGTTTATTTGGTGCTGGCCTGATTTTGTTCCTCCTCGCTCTGCCTTGTTATCCCTTTACTGTGAGCTTGACTGGAAACTCAGAGGAAATCCCTGCTGCCTGTAATTAAGAAGAGAAATTACAAGGATTTTACCCACAGACACTTCAGGCACGCTCAGTGAGGACTTGTGTGTTTTAGCATGGATATATATAAAAAATAAAAAAAAAATTCCCTTCTCACCCTCCGCGGGTGGTCTCTTTCATCCTCTGAGCTCGGGTCCTCTACCAGAGGCCTG